TTAAAGACGAAGCTGAGTGCGCGGTCCAAAAACCCTTACGCCTCTATTTAGGCGGCGGATTCCCTAGGATCCTTGCTTTCTTCACTAATGCCTTTCTCTCTCTCTCTCTCACTGACATAACGTGCTGTTTTCCCCATTGTGAATGTGAGACCAGTGAAAGGCGAGGAATGGGCAATACTTTGTTATGATTGTTGCCATTGATCAGCCATTGGGCAGACTACCATAGCGCTCCGTTCAGTGGAGCGCTGCGTACGTATTCGAATATCCGATCCTTCTAGCCTACTTCTCAGCCATACCCATTAAACAACTTCAAAGTGGCCAAGAGATTGACAAGAAGTCTTCCCCAAGGGTCTCCTAAGCAGTCCAGGTGGTTGTCTTGGCATTTCATGGGCACTCAGCGACCACATCTTCCGCGCACAGATCGAGGGGCCGCTGAGCAGACAGGAGACGGTTTGACGTCCTGCGTATTGCCGTCTCATTCGTCGATCATTCTTGAAAGACTCTGAAGCCTGCGTGGTTCGGTGCAGCAGTCCGTATCAGTATCAGTATATTTCAGGGAGAGTAGATGTGTTCCTTTGAAATCCCTATCGGTTACAAGCAGAGGAAGTATATGGAGGAAACGGGAAGGAAGTAACATGAAAGAAATGCGAGGGGAATAGCAAAAACTGTACACATGGACACAGAATGTCATGCGTTAACGGGATTTAGAGGCACATTAACTTGCTTTGTTGATTAAATACAGCGGACAGTTCAGGCACACTTAAGATACGAGAAAAGAAGTAAACTTTTTTAGTCTACAGGCATCGTGGTGAATGCGAGCAGCGGTGTGCGACGTGGTCCAAATTAGTAAATTACATAGACGTATGTTACTTAAATGTTGGTAGTAGCATCTTCATAACATTAAATTGTCAATGTTGGCTATCAAGGCGGCGATAGACCGCCGTTATTGGGTTTCGCGCTCCAATGGTGATCTGGCCTCCGTTTAAAAGTATCTACGGATCCCGACATAACAACACCCTCAGGCAAGGCATTTCAAGCTGCAACCACTCTGTTGGAGAATAAGAACTTTCGTGTGTCTAGCCGGGCACCAGTCACGCGCAGTTTGAGAGGATGGCCTCTCAGGTTAGTCGTAGTCGCCAACTCGAAAAAGTCTTCAAATGCCAGGCAGCAGCCCTGACTGCGCACGGTGCGGAAAGCTTGTATCAGGTCCCCACGTGGCTGTCTGTAACTCAAAGGAAAGCGGGCAAGATTAGCTAATCGTGTTTCGTAGGGTAGTGACCACTGCCCAGATACAAGTTTCGTTGCTCGCCGTTCAACTTTTTCAAGTATGCCGAAGTCTTTAGCGGTCCAGTCTGTCCAACGAAGTGTTTATTAGCCGGTCTGCCTAGTCAGGGTTCCACAGGGACCAGGTGATGATGTTAAAGTAATCAGGAGACTTTGTGCCACTCATTAATTTTCCCATCAGTGAGCACTTTCAGCTGCCGGGATAATTTTCTTGTTGCTGATATGGAATTAGAACATGCAAGTAGCATGCTTTGCAGCGTGACACCCTTTAGTCATACCTCTTTCGATCAAGCCCCAGAGCTTATCTAAGTTGCGAGTTCGTGTGTTAACAAAATTGTTTACATACTTTCCGTTATTGACTGAAAGAAGATTCATTGCCACACGAATTGCATGGACGATGCTTAGTAGGTGTCTTATGGTGCCCTCCTACATTGCGGTAGACTTGTAACGTCCGACCTCGATGAGGGTTCAGTGGCCGAGATCTCACTCGCGTGCTTATGGGCTGTCTGGGACGGAACGTCGGGGGCTGGAGCACTCTGTCCGGTTTGCGAATCGTTAGGGTCTTCTCTCCAAGCATTCATCATCGAATACCAACCTTCAGGCAAACGATAAGACACGTTATATACCAAGGTTTATTTTAGGAGGGGAGAAAAGAACGTAGAACGGGGGGGGGGTAGAAGGAGGGGAACGATTAATCCAACAAAACGTTAACTTTTCAGTTATCCGGGGAAGATGGGGTTGGGAGCTGCCACTGGGGAGGGAGAGTCGTTCTCTTCGAGCACCTTGACTGGAAAATAGGAGAAAGAAAAACAGATAGTTTCCAGACACCAAGCACCCTTGCTCTCTAACTTAGCGCCCTTGTCTATTAAAACAAAACCATTCATGTCCGTCCGCTACAGACTCACTGGATTGTTGGGTTGCACAACTATAACAAATTCCATACATGGGAGTGTGCCGGAACACCTAGGTGCGGGCACACGCCGCGCAGCCACCTATGCCCGATCCCGCCTCCGGTCTTCTTGACTCTATCTTAACATCGGGCTCAGGATGGTGGGGTAGAAAAAGAGAGAGTGTGTGTGTGTGACGTAGATTCTGCGCAAGTCTACTGACAGTGTAAACTCACTCACACACAATCCATCATCCGTCAGTCCACCCTGCTACGGAACATAGGGTGGGCATCACATGAATCAACAGTCGGGTGTCCGTTTTGCCCAAGTAGCTGGAGAGACTGTCAGAGTACTCGGTTCCGATACAAGCGAAGATGCGTGTTCCAGGAACTAGCTGATCAGAAGAAGCGATCGCAGGAACAAGGGCTTTATTCGCCTGACGTTTCGGATTCACACTTGGATCCATCATCAGAGACAGTGGCAGAAAAGGGTGACTCGTGCACGGGAAGTTGCAATATTTATAGGATGCAGTCGTTATGCCACCGCATGCCTATAGCAATTAACCGCGCTCCCCTTCATTAGGGAATGTTGCCCGCTGGTGCGCTAATTGCTTGATGGCCGGCATGCAAGTTGTTAATTGCCGAAATGTCATCACCCCTGTTGGATGCTGACGTGATGATTGTTCGGCTCACCGACTTGAGCCCCCCCCCCGAGTGGTCAATTACCTTGGCCAGCCTATGCCTCAGCACGGAGTATGGAGTGGGCATGTCGTTGCACTTGTTAATAGACTGGCGTCCCGTGAACCATGACTCAAGCAACTCGCGGCTCACGCGATTATCCCCTCTCGCGAGAATTTCAGCCTCATCGAACTTGAATGTGTGGCCGGGTCTCGTCGAATGGGCCGCGACCTGAGAGTTGGCCTCATTTCTCCGTACAGCTGCCACGTGTTCGGCAATTCGCGTTCAGTTCAGTGAAACGCTCCAAAGTAATTTGAAAATCTGCGTCGCATGGTTAAGGATTTAACCATGACCGGCAAATAAGGCCAAAGCAGCCAAAACGTTGACACCTAAGCCCTCGATATCCCACTCCGTGAGCCTTCGGATATGCAGGTGGCTCTTTTGAAATTTCAAGAGATTGAGCATCAAACACGTTTTGCAGCGTATAGATGGGCATTTTGGGCTAATAGACGATATCCGTTCTGGCGGATGTCATATAACTTCTCTAAGTTTAGGAATCTCTTGTTAACAAACTAAACTACTTCACTTTTTATGCCGTAGGTAAACTTCACTTGAGACACACAGCTGATGATGGTGCATAAGTCGCGAATAAATAGTTGATGTCGTATGTGAAACAGAGGTGTGGGGGGCACTTTTAGGCAACTGAAATGCAGTAATTTTTGCTAAAGGAATGAATAACTGACAATGACCTTTGATTCGAGACGTCCATTTCAGTATCCCTCTACTCTGGCAGAGTTTTTAAAAATTGCAGATTTACTAAACTATTGTTGCTGATAGAAGCGAACGGGCGAGTTCCAGGTAGCAGTTCAGAAGATGAAGAATGCGATCACTGGAACAAAACATTCACTTGCCTGACGTTTCGGGTTCGCACTTGAATCCATCATCAGAGACATTCGCAGATAAAAATGATGGTGGCACCAGGAGTGCAGTATTTATAGCACGTGGCTACCGTGGGACCGTATGCGTACTGCAATTAACAGTTCTCGCAATCACCGCTGGGGTCGTAATTTATGCGATGGTGGCTTGTCGATCCGAGTCCAAGTCGTTAATGGCCGCGATTTCGTCATCCGTGCTGGATGCTAACGTGACGACTGCTCGGCAAACTGGCTCACTGTCACCGTGATGATCGCTCGCCCGCGCCCTCCCCACGTGACTGATTCTCCTGCCCAGGGAAAATCACAGTACGGAATATGGTACCGGGAGGTCATTGTGCTTGTCGGTGGATTGCGGGCCTGAGAACCATGACTCGAGCAACTCGTGGCTCACGCGGTTGTCACTCCTTGCGAGGATTTTGGCCTCTTGAAATTTGAAAATATGGCCGGGTCCCGTCAAGTGGGCCGCCACCTGAGAGTTAGCGTCTCCCCGCCTCACTGCTGCTGCGTGCTCGGCAATTCGCGTACGGAGAATTCTCCCAGTTTCTCCGACATATTTGCTTTGTCCGCAACTACACCAGATCCAGTAAACGACTCCAGACGTTTCCTGCCGTGGCAGTGGGTCTTTTGGCCTCATGACCGAGCAATCGTCACACTAGCATCCAGCACGGATGACGAAATCGCGGCAATTAACGACTCGGACTCGGACCGACAAGCCACCACCGCATCAATTACGACCCCAGCGGTGATTGCGAGAACTGTTAATTGCAGTGCGCATACCGTCCCATGGCAGCCACGTGCCATAAATACTGCACCTCTGGTGCCACCATCATCTTTATCTGCGAATGTCTCTGATGATGGATTCGAGTGAGAATCCGAAACGTCAGACAAACAAATTGTTTGTTCCAGTGATCGCATCTTCATCTTCTAAACTATTTTTGTTTAGTTGATGGTATATTTGAAAATCTCCGCCATTTATGTATTGTTGTCAGCTCATAATCGCTTTAATTTTAGGGTCGTGAAATCTCCATCTCGTAAGTGACACTGCCCCGAAAATATTTGATTCTATGATGAAGAGACCTCTTCTATTCCAGCTCGTGTCCGTTCATTTGTTTTCACTCCGTCTCCTCCTACTCCTTCCAACCGCATCACAGTGTTTCGACATATGCAGTGCGGTTGGGGAAGATCCATTCGGACTCGATGAAACACAGCTGCATACAATGCCTCCGAGGCACCTTGGCCCACTCTACGTGGACATCAATCTGCATATCCACAGCATTCCACAGGTGAACGTGCGTAGCATGGAACTCGGTGTTGTGCTGACCCTTCGACAACGCTGGCGCGACCAGCGCCTGCAAGTCAGTGAAACAGACATTCCAAACAGCAGTCATATGACCCAGGGATGGCTGTCCAAGCGCATTTGGCTGCCCGACGTGTTCTTCGTGAATGCTCGCAGTGGAACGCTGCATCAGGTTACCCAGCCGAATGAAATGCTCTGGGTCCACGACAACGGCGTAGTTGTCTACAGCCAGAAACTCACCCTGCGTCTGTTCTGTCGCATGACCTTCTGGAATTTCCCCATGGACATTCAAACATGCTCCATCCTCATCAGCAGCTATGGGCATGCAAAGCGTGACCTCGAACTGCGATGGTGGAACACGAAATATCATCATATTGCCGGCAATCCGAGTCAGCCCATTCAACAGCATCTTGCGGTGGAAATAAACGAGGAATTGGGGCTGAACGAATTCAACCAGCCAGTATATGCCTTCCGCGATTGTAACAACACCAGTGTCGTGACAGGAGTCTTTCCCTGCCTCGAATTGGAGCTGCGACTGGTTCGCAAGTACGGATTCTACATCATCTACGCCTACCTACCCTCAAGCCTGGTTGTCCTGATCGCCTGGCTGGCTTTCCTCATTGATCCCCGAGCTATCCCCGCTCGCGTCTCCCTGGGTTTGCTTTCCGCTATTGCGCTCATTACCCACAATGCGTCCCTTCTGGTTCACCTGCCAAACGTGTCCTACATCAAGGCCATCGATCTCTGGTTCTTCGTTTGCCTAGCCTTTGTTTCAAGCACTTTGGCAGAATCAGCTCTAGCCAATCGAATGTGCAGATGTGCGGCACGGAAGAAGGGAGATCAGTTTGCACAATCAACGGCAGGCCAGTTGAGTCGCCTGACTGGCTGGAAGAAGCATAACAGTGTCAGTCCAGAGGAAACCACGAAGACGGATTCCCCGCAGGCCACCGTAGAAGCACCCAATCAGTCGGCTGATAATAAGGATGACATCAAAGTCAGATGGATGGACACAGTCTGTTTGTGTGCTTATCCAGTCTGTTTCCTGCTGTTTAACACAATCTACTGGCCATTGTATGCTGGCGGGTAACAACTCTGAATGCTACTGATCGAAAGTGAAAAGTAGTATGTTTTGCTGAATCACGTTGCATCCCACAGCAATCTGGCCCTCATCTGACACGTAAAATTCTGTCATCAGTGACGTTCAGCCCTCGTCTTAGTATCACATGCAGAAATGCGTTTTCTTCCACACTTTTAATGAAACTTAAAATGCCTATGATTATGAATTATGTGTTACAAACCATCGTCTGCTCGGCGTACACTTGCCGGAATCACAGTGGACTGCTCTTGCAATGATTGGGAGAACCCATTTTTGCGAGAAAAACGCTTCTATCATGTAAAAAACCCTCCATTCCGCGCAAGACTTCGATACTGTCTGCTTTACTCCATGCATTAACTTCATATTAATCGGCTGTATTTTTTATGTCATACCGTTCAGTTCTCATTCAGAGTTGTATCGTCAGTTGGTATTGAAATTCCGTCCCTTTCATATTCAAAGGTCAATACTTTGCGAGTGGGCACTTTCGGAAGTAAGTCTATGGGGTTTTATCTAGTAACCGTCTATCTTTAATCGATTTTCATTTAGGACTTATTAGTCGTAACGGATTTTTGCGGTGCCTTATTCAGCAAGACGACGCTGGAGTTGGCGCCAGCCCTATGTAGGGTTATTCCAGACTGCACACTAAATCCCGTCCAGATGCACCTAGGATTGGTCAGCTGTTTTCATTGGAAGGCGTATAGCAGATAAGGTCAGATATTAGCTCGCTTTGAAGACTGCAGTTTGCAGGTTGGGGATTTAGAGCCCTCGCGAGAGGCCTCCGTTACCAAAACAATATCAGAGGAAGGACAGACTTTCCCAGACAGTTATCAAGGACAGTAGATTGGGGACTATGTCAAGACCTGCCAATGTGGTCATCATGTGCGGCAGAATTCAATGCACATTTCGGGCTTTTTCGAGGTGGACGGACCGGGGTCCAAGTGATGAGTGGATCCATAGTCTTCCTATTGTCAGCTACCAGCTTGGTACCGGTTTTTACTGGCCTAGCCGGACTGCAGGGTGACAGGCGTATTCGGATACCAGACCTCAGATGTGCTCAGCTACTGGTTGTGACATGGATAACTAACGAACCTTTTGGTCTTCCAAGGTCAAGACACCTTCCGGGGAACGATGCCGTAAGTATATGCAGCGGTCCTTGGGTCTCCCGGATCAGGCCTGCAAGACAAATTGCAAGATCTGGAGACGGAATCAGAGACGCCAGCCCTACCGATAGGTCGAGCCAAAGCCTGATCGATCTATGTAGTTGCTATTGACAACCAAAGAAACGCCAAATGTATCCATTCCATCTGTTAATTGCCGCGAAATGGCACACTGCTATCTTATCTATCCGCTCGAGGAATTAGGTCCCCAAAGTCCCAGGCATTGACGCTTGAGCGCGTGAACTTTTGGCGATCAACTAAAACTCGCGATATTAATTAGATTAGCAAGACCGTTATATAATTCCCTTCCCCGTCGGCATTATCCTCCAAACCAAAATGTATCCCATGAACATGGTTGTTCTCCTCTAAAGAAATTCCATCGTAATTGTTCAGTGGTGTCTATTTCATCTGTAGAACAGCATTTGTAGAAACTGCCGTCACTGATGCCCTAGGATGTTAACATGCACAGTCCTAGACTATAGAATTTTTACTAAGCAGTGAGTCATTTAATGGTAGAATCATGTTCGTCAAGCCATAGGTAAATATAGAACTCTGCAATGATTTGCCGTACTAAAAACACAGGTATTAGCTAAAAGCCCAGACACGCGTGTTTCGCCGATCTTATGCCACTGTCTGACGCAGCTGCAAGTGGTTCGGCTCGTCAGTGGGTCCCCCGGCTTTCTGGTATATGAACTCTCTCTCGAGCTGGTTGGACTTGAGAGAGAGTCTATAAGGCACAACGGCAGGAGTGATTTCCGTATGAACGATCGATGAGCGTCCCCCCACCATTGTATGTATATATGTATATTCAGTCAAGAATACGCGCACACTCATCTATTGGCTTCTCGAAGCAAACAAGCTCCATATGGGTGCCAAAGGTTAAGAACTGGCTACCGATTATCAGACCAAAGTCGGCCAAGTTTTAAAAGTAGGGAGGAGGGTTGACAGAGAATGAAGACAAAATAAGCCCGAAACAGTACTGTATCAAACCACTCGCATTATCTGCCGTCCCTCCTCGCCGTTATATATATATATATATATATATATATATATATATTTCGAAGAAGAATGAGTCCTTTGGGAAAATGAACAAACTTTATTTCGTAAATTTTCGAGACTGGTTCCCCAGCTCGTCTTCAGACGTGTAGTAAGTGTGAAAAAACAGTCAAAATTTAAACAATGCCGAAAAAATCGATATTGCTCTGTCATGACTGAAGATGGGTTAATGCTGTAGGCTGATGTCACGTCTTGATTGGCTATTACCTTTTCCATTTTTCTTTGAGACTTGTGTACATGGTATCAAGGTCGATGCGTCGATTGATGCATGAATCATCAGAGTGAATGGCCTCTAGGAATTCTCGGCCTTTCTTATATGGGCAGGAACCGACAATGCGTGTTTTATCCCAAGCGAATTTGTGCCCAGTTTCAAGAGTATGCATGGCGACTTGGGATAAGTGGTCCCGCCTCTTCACTGCCAATTGGTGTTCATGTAGGCGTGTAGAGGCGGATTTTCCGGTTTGACCACAATACACTGCATTACAAGTGCCACATGGAATTTTATAGACTACTTCTTTCTTATCCAAATAGCCAACCCTATCCTTAGGGTGTACAAGCTGATGTCGTAGCGTGGTAGTCGGTTTGTGAGCCACTTGTATTTGGTGCTTCCTCAGGTGTCTTGCAACGAGTTCAGACGCATTTTTAATGTAGGGAAGCGTTCGCCAATGTTTTGGTTTTGGCGTCTGATCGGAACAATCTAGTTCCTTCTCTCTTTCTTTTGATTCCTGCTCTTTCATGCATCTGCGTACAAAACCTCTGGGGTAGCCGTTTTGGGAAAATAGGTTGAATAAATAATTGAGTTCTTCTTTGTAACCTTCGTTCTCAGAGCAATGTGTCTTTGCTCGACATCAGCTTGTACACCCTAAGGATAGGGTTGGCTATTTGGATAAGAAAGAAGTAGTCTATAAAATTCCATGTGGCACTTGTAATGCAGTGTATTGTGGTCAAACCGGAAAATCCGCCTCTACACGCCTACATGAACACCAATTGGCAGTGAAGAGGCGGGACCACTTATCCCAAGTCGCCATGCATACTCTTGAAACTGGGCACAAATTCGCTTGGGATAAAACACGCATTGTCGGTTCCTGCCCATATAAGAAAGGCCGAGAATTCCTAGAGGCCATTCACTCTGATGATTCATGCATCAATCGACGCATCGACCTTGATACCATGTACACAAGTCTCAAAGAAAAATGGAAAAGGTAATAGCCAATCAAGACGTGACATCAGCCTACAGCATTAACCCATCTTCAGTCATAACAGAGCAATATCGATTTTTTCGGCATTGTTTAAATTTTGACTGTTTTTTCACACTTACTACACGTCTGAAGACGAGCTGGGGAACCAGTCTCGAAAATTTACGAAATAAAGTTTGTTCATTTTCCCAAAGGACTCATTCTTCTTCGAATTATGTTTCTTGGGATGCCCATCTTCCAGTACATACATATATATATATGCTGGAAAACGGGCATCCCAAGAAATTTAATTGAAAATAACTAAGATTCTTTGGGAAGGGAATAAACTTTAATGAGTAAATTTTCGAGTCTGGATCCCCAGCTCGTCGTCAGACTTTTGGGCAATGTACAAAAACAGTTAACTATTTAACCGTGTCAAACAAGTGATTCTATGGTTGGCCGAAGTCTGCGCCAATGCGCGTCAACGATTTCGTCATCCCTTCGGCATTGGCTGCGCTCGTTTCCATTTGTCCTTGAGAAATTTGTATGTGGCATCTAAATCGATATGCCGGTTGATGCATGCCTCATCTGAGTGCATTGCCTCCAGGAATTCGCGGCCTTTCCTTATTGGGACAGTCGTCAACAATGCGAGTGTTTTCCCATGCAAATTTGTGTCCAGTGTGTGCATAGCCACCTGGGATAAATGATCTCGTCTCCTCACCGCTAACTGATGCTCATGTAAGCGGGTAGAGGCGGATTTCCCAGTATGGCCACAATACACGGCATCACAACTGGAACATGGTATCTTGTAGACAACACCTTTCCTATCAAGATAGCCAACCCTGTCCTTAGGGTGTACAAGCTGTGTACGCAAGGTGGTTGTAGGTTGGTGTGCTACGTGTATCTGATGCTTTTTCAGTTGTCTTTCGACAAGTTCAGATACATTTTTGATGTATGGGAGGGTCCGCCAGGTATAAGTTTTTGGTGCTTGGGTGGCCGCTGTTTTCGAAATACCTTTCTGTTTAAATTCATGTTTCATGCAATGATGCACAAAGTGGCGCGGGTAGCCGTTGTGGCAAAATAATTTGAAAAGGTATTTCACTTCTGCTTGATAACTTTCTTCATCAGAGCAGTGTGTTTTAGCTCGGTTTAGTAGGCTGTAGACAGTACTCCTCTTGTGAGTGATGGGGTGGTTACTCTCAAAGTGTAGGATGACCTCGGAGTATGCTTCTTTGCGATAAACTGAAGTCTGAAGGGATCCATCAGTTTTTCGGCATACGAGGACATCTAGAAATGGGAGCTGTCCGTCAACCTCTGTTTCAAATGTGAACTGAATTCCTGGAAATGTGGAGTTAAGATTCATGTGAAGTTGGTCTAATTGGTTTCTCTTGACAATGACAAATGTGTCATCAACATAGCGTAGCCATAGTTTTGGATTAATTTTTGGAAGGGCTATAGACTCCAGTTTCTGCATTATGGCTTCTGCTAGAAAGCCAGATATAGGCGAACCCATAGGAGCACCTTTCAGTTGCCGATAACATTGTTTGGCGAAAGAAAAGTTGGTTTCTAGACAAACATCAAGTAGTTGGAGTAGAGCGTCGGCAGGCACATCAGTGGTGTAAACCTGAAGGAGTTCTTCGGTGCAGTGTCTCGCTAAATCTAATGGAATCGAGGTGAAGAGGGAGACTACATCGAATGAAACCATTATCTCGTCGGCAGCAACAGTCACTCCTTTTAATTTGTCTAGGAACTGATTCGAATCTTCAATGGAGTTCTCAGAGTCCTTTGTAAGTGGATGCAGATGGTGAAATAACCACTTAGAAATCTTGTAGTTTGGTGCACCGATTAAGGAGACTATCGGTCGCAGTGGAATACCTACTTTGTGAACTTTAGGAAGTCCATATATTTTGGCAATTGTGGGTTCGTCTTGTTTTAAGGATTTAGCCAGAACTCCTGAGCTTAATTTCTTTCCTGTAAGGCGACGAGCTGGGGATCCAGACTCGAAAATTTACTCATTAAAGTTTATTCCCTTCCCAAAGAATCTTACTTATTTTCAATATATATATATATATATGTCTTGTTCCCATACCCTGACAACTGCTAACCACCACTCAGAAAGATTTAAGATTATTTGAGAGCCAAATAACCCTGGTTGCGTAAAAGTCTGCGCCTAGTTTCCCAGCTCGTAGTCAGACTTATGGGCCATGTACAAGTAAATATTTAACCGTGTCGGTGGGGGTAGGTTATGTAAACCCACTAGGTTGTTTTTAAAAACCCCACCTGCTAATTTTAGTTGGGTAGCTAAAGTTCATAAGGATTTGTCTGATTCTAGGTGGCAAAATGTGTTATGTGTTATGCGGGGTTGGAGCTCCATCAACAACATTGACGTTAAAGCTGCCCATTTCCGGCTTAAGGTCAGGGTTCAGTATACGCTTAGGGTTAGGGTCACTCTTGTAGCTCATTCTGACTACTTCGAATGTCCAATCCCTTAAAGAGAAGCAGGCGGCCGCAATGAAGGACGAAGTTAGTTGCTCGGAAACTAACGCGACCTGGATAAACCCCTGGCCGCGAAGTTGGCAGCTGCAAGGCTGTCCAAGGCTATCTTTGACGCTGATGACTGGATGGATCATCGACTCTTCGTCTCCAAGATGAGGATTCGGTCGTTACCCCTCGGGAGGCCATAAAGAATGCGACCATCAGGTGTTTCATTGCATTTGTCTGCTCACCACTTACATTTCAACAGTCAGTTAGCCCAGCACCTGGAAGAACTGCCGGCCTTAGACGACAACGTTCCTGTGGAGACTCAGGGGATTCAACGCGGAATGTCATCCACTCCACTGCCTTGGACGTCCTGGGTCGCCCACGGCGCCAGCATCTGGGACAAACATGCAGACATCAGTAACTTGCTCGCCGAAAATCGCGGACTGCACAAAGTTTACAATGACCATGGGACAGACGCGAACAGGTGGGTTCCTCCGATATCGCCACCTCCTGCAAACAAGATACGCGGAAGATGCAGGACGCCTGGGTGACTCAGAAATCTGACAAACTCCAGGAGTATGTTGACCTCAATGAAACAAAGAACGTCTTCTTATCAATCAAGATGGCCTACTGCTCCCTAACCAAAGGCACCGGGCAGCTTCTCCCCTCTGATGAAACATCACTTCTGACGGAGGGACCGCAGATTCCGAAGCGCCAGGCGAGCACTTCAGAAGCGTTTTCAACTGTCACAGAGCGGATCCCCCCAAGTGGTAACGAAAGTACACCTGGACCTCCCGCCTTTTCTCCCGGAAACAATCAGCGTCGTGCTCGAAACCTCATTTTCTAATGAGAACCCCATGAAGGATAGAGTTTTCTAAGGTCCTTTGCCAGGTCTTCGATTGTTCTCAATTTCCGTTAATGGCGTTTCGCCGGCAACTAAACACGTTTAGTCTTATCTATATTGTAAAACGCCGGTCCAGCGTGGTGGTAAACATATTCATCTAGATCTATGGTCCCTTTCAGTCACTTTATTTAGAGTATATGACTTTTGCCCTTGAGCTCCTTATTCTATTCCGCAAAAGCAAGAATATCCAGTATGACATCAGAAATTCTGCAAAAGGTACAGTCGATGCTATGTCTGAGGAAAGTGCAAGCTGCCGCCATCAATATGGTCTCGATTATGTGTACAGAAGTTTCTCAACAAACAATTATTAAGTCCGACTCAGACGTGTCTGAACACTACCGCATAAGGGTGTCCGTCCCGGGTTCCAATGACTCTCTTCCAGAAAGTGTTGCGTCGAACGCCCTCAAATTAAAGAGAGGGCCACAGAAGCGGTCCGACTCAGTCGTTTTAAACTGGTGCACGAACTGGATAAGGCACTCAGCACCTATGAATCTGGGAGTTCTGGATGAGGTCGCTATGCAGTTGCCTCTAATCTAGAGAAAACAGCTTAAGCTCAGTCGATGTAGCTTCGAATTGAAGAACTCCAAAATTCTTCACCAGCTCCGTAGCCCTCGCTTACACATGTTTCGGTAGCTAATAATCCTTGAACCACGAATGTCGGAACTGTACGTGTTCTGGTTGGGTTGCAAAAAGCTCGTCTCAGTGCGAAGAACATCGTACGTTTAGCTGTCTTTAAACATTCTGATCCACTTAGGCGAGAAGTACATGAGACCATCGACATCTCTCAGTTCCACATCATTTAAAAGGAAATGACCATCTGGAATGCACACGTTTGGTACCGTGTCTTATGACCACAATCTACCAGCATTGAAATCTAAAAGCTAACGTAATATCAGATGCTTTTTCAGTCATGACTCTCTTCAAGTATATGCTTATCTGTGTCAGATCTGGTGACTCTTTGGATTTTAACAATGTTGGCAAACATTACAGCGTAGCAATCCAGGTTTTCGACACACACGTTGATATAGACTAGGAAGATTTAAGACCGAAGGACTGAGTCCTGGTGAACACCACTTGAAACGGATTAAGGGGTTGACTTCGAGGCACTAACGCATACAGTTTGCGATCTCCCTATAAATAACTGCATGGTTCATGTCGGTTGAAAGCCTTTTATTGTAATATCAGAAGTTTTTTGAAACAGGGGTTTCTGCGGAACACTGTAGAAATCCCTTCCCTCATTATCGTGAACTTGGTCTATCCTACACTTCTGCCTCAGTGCGCGAGTTGACTTCTCAGCCGAAATTAACAAGTTTGGAAGGCAAGGAAGACTATACTTGGAGTTGTGCTGGAGTCCTAGGAGTGAGTGGCTCCCCTCCAGGGTCTTCATTGTCGCCTAATTAAGTATGGTCTCCATTGCTACCCAAGAGATGCAGATTAGACTGACGGTGCAACATTTCTAGGGAAAACGTTTGTTGTTTTACACGTGAATGACATCCCCCAATCTGAATGACATACGAAAAAATTCTTTTTTTTATTTATGTACGCTATTAGTTTGGCGAAGTTCTTTGTTAATTCCTTCGATAACGTCGGCGGTGTATTTTCCGTGCCCGATTATTTTGCTTCTGCAAGACCTTATGGCCGCAGCGAAGGGCATATGTCTAGGCACTTTGTTGATTTTTGCAGCAGAAAAGTTAATTATGTAAGAGTCTGAGACGACGAATTGGTCCTAATTCTTAGGTTTCTTGCCTTTTCGTTGACTTTTATGCCATTGTCATTCCTGGGTACTGCGACCGGATCTTTCGTTTTTAGCCGGTTGGTTATATGCTAAAATAAAATATTGGACTCTTTCTGCGTGGAAGTCAACATGATCCGTAAGGTTTTCCCACGTCGCAGGTCGTCACATGCACTTTTGTCCTGGTGAAATACCCCGAACCGCAATTATTCAAGGTAGCGCTATGACAGGATAATCCGCCGTCAAGAACTTTGGTTAAGGATGCATTTGTAACATAGATCCCTCAAGTCGCTGAGTGAACAACTGTCAAAGCTTCCCAAACTTCCAGTTGTATTTCTTGTTATTTTCCTACAATCAAACTAAAACTTAGCATATGCTTGCCTTCCGCAGGCTTGAGTATTCTCTAATAGCAAAATGTGCTCTAACGAGCTCGCACGGAGCTCGTTTCGCGAGGTACGCGAGTTCCGCTGGAGTTCTGATGTGATCCTCGATCAGAGCTCGTACGGAGCTCGCGAAAACGAGCCCATAATGGGCTCTGGAAAACGGTTTGCGAGCTCGTTCCGAGCTTGACCAGAGTTACAAAAAACGAGCTGCAGCGCTTACCCAGTCAGTGGCCCCCCTCACTTGTACTGCTCCATTGCCTTTAATTCCCCCAATTTTCATCATTGAAGTAGAAAAAAGGAACACGTGTTGGGATAAGAAAATCTGTAATGGAAAATAATACGTTATATCTAATAATTATTCTAATGAATCGGAGCCTTATGCCTGCTGGTTCCCATTGTCAGTCGCGGGGTCTTCGTTAGTTGTGGCAGGGTCGAAAAGGGAAAGATTCCACAGTTGTAAGTGACCATATAAAGCCCTTATTATTTAAATGTAACATCAGTATATGAATATTTACCTTGTGATTGTCGGCTGGATGAGGCCCTATGGCACTTCCTTTTATGCCGATCGTGGGCCTTCTCAAATGCATTTTCAAGCTTTTGACGGTCTGACTGGTGGTTTTTATTCCACCTATTGAAAACCTCTGAAATGTAATTTTTTAGTTGGGCAAGTAGTAAATCCTACTCAGAATGACAGAGTAAACGGGACTGTCCAATAGACCCCGAGTCCCTGCCTTTCTGCCATAAAATGTAAGGAAACCACCAACGTCTTTTGAGAACGCGGAAAAGAATATTCTCTGCGCAAAAGCGGTAATTGTGTCATTACCCATGATGTACAAGTAGGCAACCTGAATCCGGTATTATTATTAACAGACACTTTTTACCAAACTCCGCCTCTACGTAGCGTCGGACACTCCGGTCGTCAGCATGTCCAATCTGCTTAATGTGCTGACTCCTTGCACAATGTACCCATCAACAGCTGACGGCCGGGAGTTGGATACCGTCAGGCGACGCACATCCTCACGGAGGGCCGCCAGCTCAATTGCTTTATGCCAGAAGTCGTCCAGTCTGACCTTTTTTGGTTTCGCTGTCTACGGTCGCACTGGGAGTGCTCATGCCGCCGTCGCTTTCGCTTAGGCGTGCTACTCATGGACTGCCCACCTTGAATGTATATACGTATAAGCATCTGTGTAGAAATGTTAACTGTTCTCACATATAAGCAAAATCAATAGCTTACTTGAACGATGGGGAGATAATCCCTTAGGAAGGCTGGTGCTCGTGCTTGCATCTGATGAAGATTCCTAAAAGGAACCTGTGTCGCTTGGCTTTGTGAACCTTACCGATGATAATCGAGTCGACAGCAACTATTCGTCGCCAAAGTAATCCTGCCCACAGTATCTCTAATTGGGCCTACACTCTCTATGTCGCCTTTCAGACATAATTATCTACAACCCAACGGGATAAGTTTAGTAATGTTTGAAGCCAAAACTATGTTTAGTCCCACAGTACCCCTTTACTTTTTGCGAATCTGTAGATAAGGAACAGTTGGGTTGTAGGATTCGCAGATAGTGACTGCTTAGTGATGGGATTGTCAGTGACACACTGGAGAACTTTGAAGAAGCTGTGGAAGGGCCGTCGTCGTACGCATTTACCCATCAGCCTGTAGGCTTACCAACCACTGAGTCCCAAAGTCCACTAAGAAGTGCTTCCAAAACTTACGTGGAAGCACACCATTAAGAACAACTGCACCATTGTACAACAATAATTGGCGCAGTTCTGTACCCTTCCATGTGTCCATGTCATTTAATGACCTAGCGCGCTGCAAAAATTCCCTCGGCAAGTAGGGGCTCAACGTGCGCAAGTTATTATTTATAGTCGACACTGCCGATGCAGACAACCTATATGCATTGAAGCTAGGGCTGCGCAGCCACAAGTTGAAAAGTCTTCTCATAACGCCTAGGTAAAACAAATGTATAGGATATTAAGGGAAGAAGCTTACTATTCCTACGTTGCACGCCAGCAATGGCGACACGCCAATGCGGTGGCAGTCATCGTCCTTGGAAAAAAATCATCATATGACCTAGCATGTTCGGAGACACTATCATAAAATATCTTATCTACGTTCTCCACCATAATGCAGCAGCGTTCGCAGCCATAGTAAGCATAAACATTCTTAATCTGCTTAATGAAAGGTATTGCTGGAGCATCATATATGACGGAAGCGAGGCGGAAGCGCAGAGTTTTGTCCCCCGCATCGAGCCGCAGAGCTTCCTTATTCAGCGACAATCAATCGTCGACAAGCGGTTTGCTGGACGCCTGCACGTCCGAAGGCTTACCAAATCCAAAGGTTAAACCTTCAGTGAAAAACTTACTTAATATTGACTTCATAACTCTGCCTAAAATAGGCTAATATTCGCGCTTAGTCTTCCTATGGATTGGAAGACCATCTATTGCTAGGCATAGAACTACTTCTTCTATCGAAGGGGACCGAGCTATATTACGCAACTGCACGTTCACCCGAGCGGCAAGATCCAAATGCATGTACTCACCGCTGACCATTGCCCTGATCCGTGCAGAGGAGTATGCCGCGCCCAACGGCGTTCGTGCGTCCGGCAACCACGGTTTCAAAGCCTTAAACAGATCGTTTAAATGCGACTGGGGAGTTTTCGACTTTCACGAGCGCTTGAATCCTTTTCCCCTACTTCTGCCGTTGAATCAACTCCTTCGTCCGTAGACGCACTGGTACCCTCCAACAAAAAAGAGCGTTCGTTCTCCAGCGAAGTTGAGGACTCAGACTCGTCCGTGAAGCTGTCAGACCCACTGCTAGATTA